TGGCTCCTCCACGGAGCTGCTCATTGGGGGACTTCTTTGGCTCTGCCCACGCAACCCAGCCAATCGGCCTCAAGAGCAGGAGGATTGTGGGAGGTTGAGAGGCTGGTGTGGGGGTGAGAGGCTTGTGGAAGCCGGTGGTGGCAATTGGGCTCTGAGGGTTTTTTCCCTGAGGAACTGTTTTGTTTGGTGTTTGTAGTTCTAAAAATAAAGTTAGTTTCTTTTGACAAGTGGCTCCTGAATTGTGCCCAGCCAGACTGCGGCACATATACAACTAAAAATTTTGTTAAATACTTATTTTTTAGCTCTAGGTGGACACAATAACTTTATTTTATTTTTATGTGATGCTGAGGCTCAAACCCAGTGCCTTACGCATGCCAGATGAGAGCCTACCACTTGAGCCACATCCCCAGCCCCCCCACATTTTTTAAATAGAGTAAAATATAGCCTATAGCCTACATAAAGTTCTCTCCCATGCAAGCCTGCACCCTCTGGCATTAGCCACACACTCAAGATAAAAAATTTTATGGGATTATCTGTTATCCTCCCAGGGAGTCTTATCTCAATTTCAACACATGGGAATCTATTCTCCACTGGAAATTTTGTTACTTTTAGGCTCACTATGAATACTGTCACATTCTTATTGAAAAAAATTGGACCGCTTTGCATTCCTACCATAATAACAATTTCACTTCCCTTGTCAATGCTGGGTCTTAACAATTACAAGTTTTTACAAAAAAGTTGCCCTCAATGAAATGATGCACTTTTAAATTGGATCAAGTTGCACAGCATTTTATTCTAGGAAATTGTATACAGGTTTATACATGTATGGTTATTGCAATGTTCTCTTTTTGCTAAAGTAACTAATGGGAGACCATCTTCATCTTCATCAAAGAGCTGGCTGCATATAAATCTGATGGACAATCCATAGATTGCCATGCAGAGGGAAAAAGAAAAGTACTTATAAAATAAGCTAGTCTGGGAGGATCTTTAAGATGTAATATTTTAAGATATATACTGAGATCAGCTGAACGTATATGGGCTCCATATTTGCTTTGAAAATAAGCATTAATATTAGACACAGCTCTCCTTTCCCTAATGAGAAGTATTCCCAAACTCATTCCAAGTTTTCCTGTCTGATGTCGAAAAATAAATGTATTTGAAAAGCCACTAGTATTAGTTATCAACTCCCCTGATTCTGCAGTGTCCGACAATCAACCTAGTTTATTGTCAAATTAGAACAAGAACATGGTCCCAGCTCAGAAGCTTAAAGGTGTCGCTGGCTTTGGTAGCAAATAAAAGCAGAGTGTGATGGACATGACTATGCTGGGCCCACTTCTCTGCCCTAGCTTCCCTGGGCCAGGTTCCAGGATCTGAGTGGGCGCCTGCTCCTCACCCACCTCCCCACCAAGTACAGCAACAGCTGCCTGACAGGACGTTACCACTAGACAAAAAACTGCTGTGCTTTTTTAAACACACGTGTAAGAAAAGGGGGAAAAAAAGAAAAAACAGCACAATTCGATTGGGAAGAAAAGACTTGCAAAACATGTTTTTGATAAAACCATTTTAAAATTTTTTTTAGTTTATTTTTATTTTGTTATATGTGACAGCAGAATGCATTACAATTCATACTACACATATAGAGCACTTTTTTCATATCTCTGGTTGTATGCAAAGTGGAGTCATACCATTCGTGTCTTCATATATGTACTTAGGGTGATGATGAAGTACATGAAGATGTATGAAGGCACGAATGGTGTGATTCTACTTTGATAAAAACCATTTTTATGGAAAAGAAAAAGGCGGAGACTAGAAACGATGATGGAGAAATCAAGGGAAAGCGGCCTCAGTCCCTTCAGTGAAAAGTCTAAAATTTGCCATTAAAGTACTGAAGCGGAGGCCTAGAAAGATGCACCCCAACCACCGTGCCCAGCCCGGCCCACACCCCCGCGCCTCGCCCGCACCTCCTGCCGGCTCTTACCAGCATGCACAAATTCCTTGCTCCCCACTCCGCCTGGAACCCCGCTCTGCCCTGCTCCCCGCTCCGCCCCCTGGCCCCAGC